TTCCATGTAAAATGAAGCCAAACGTGAACAAAAAGATCCAAAATTTTAAAAATTTTCCAGGTAGAAAATTATACCAATACACACTTAATTAACAATTCCCTAAAAAACAAGTTCTAAGCAATTATTTTCTCTGAAATTCATTTTCTTTACACTCATTTCCACCCTTGCAATCAAACGGACCCTTGGTATATGTAGAACCGCATGTAAATATCACTAGCACAAGGATTTATCTTTGAATGTTGACGTTCGACCATCCAATTTCACGATGGAAAGAGAGAAATGAAATAGCCAATCTAGAAAAAAAATCTAAACTATGTCTCTTTCTTGGCTACTTAAGAGCATCTCCAATCGTGATATAATATTGGGTGTAAATTGCTATCTTCAAAATCACTTCTACACCCTAATTTAGCCCCTATTTAACAACCATATTTTTCAAACTCTTTTTTCTATATATTCATTTTCAACCATACATTCCCACAATAAAATATTTTGCACAAAATTTTTCCATACTTCTTAACCACACATTCTCCTAAAAATCACTATTCAAAACTCTATTTTCGAAAAGTATGGTTGTCAAATAGTGGCTTACATCCCGTTGGATCTAAATTCAAATTTTGCTCCAATGAAAAAATCTAAATTCAATTTTTGCTTCTTGTAGATGTAAAAAAGCAAATGTAATTTACATCTTTTTTATATTTTTTTCCGGAAAATCCAATTTTCATTTCNAAAATCTAAATTCAATTTTTGCTTCTTGTAGATGTAAAAAAGCAAATGTAATTTACATCTTTTTTATATTTTATTCCGGAAAATCCAATTTTCATTTCATTTGCATCTCTCCATTGGAAAGGTTTCCGGCCACTTTGGAGATCTAATTAGATCTATTTTACACAATGATTGGAGATGCTCTAATCAAACAATTTTACGAATCTGAAGAGTAGACTTTTTAAACAAAATGTATAGGAAAACCTACCTCAATACCAAGACGAGTCACAGATGCAACCTCCCTTGCAATAGCCATTGTGATCTATTTGACAACAATTTGATTACAATTCAAAGAAAATTAAGTATAAATAGAAGGAAAAAAAATCTACAGCATTCAAAGCATTGTTAGCTCCAATTCCAACCTTCGGATCAATATTTTGTTTTTGATCTCCTGCAAGTGCCTCTCCGCTTACATTAAGCAATACCCTGCGCCATTTGTATGATGGCTTGGATGCGCCATTATCATTCATTGAGATGTCAAAAGGAGGCATAGATATAGAAGAAAACTGAGGTGGCCTAAAAAAAGGGAAGAAAAGAGAAAAAAATATTAGAGAGAGAAAAGTACACATGTAGATGTCTACAAACATGCTGCAGTATAGTGTAAGGAACAAGATTTAAATTATTTTCTACTCTCTGTACTATCCACTCTTCCTTAACAAGCGTACCAAAGATAACGATAACGCTGATGTAATATATGGTGTCAATCAATGAGATAAGCACATTATAAGAGAAAAATACCATGAGGTATTAGTCTTAAAAATAATAAACCCTTTATGTGCCCAACAGCCTTAAAATGACAATACGTACAAAATATGAACAATATATTACTACTTAATTCTTTTGGTTCATAACTATTGAGTGCCAATAGTGTGAAAGACTCTTCAATCTATCTAGTACTCATTGGTATGAGAATCGATTGTAGAAAAATCATTTTGTGTATGATTCATTTTTTAAACCATAGAACACAAAGGGGAACACAAACTATTAGCTAAATCAAAGAAATCTCAGTGAAGGCAAAAAAGACATGAAATTTAGGTTCAATCTACATTGACCAACACTTGGGTGTAAAATCCCATATGATTTCATGATGAATCTGTATAGCTTATCTACAATCAAGCAGCATAAAGGTGCATAAATCAATATAATTTGCTTGATATTGTGAAATTCTTTCTTTTTCCATCAAAGATATTGGCAAGCAACATCAGCATGCGAGTAGTCCTTGACAAAACTCACAACATGAATAACAACTTAAATACTTTCAATAAATTACTTGGATGAGTAGATTAAACATATCTAAAGAAATGGTTCTGAGGAGAAATCCCACCAGTCTCATTTGCTTCTTCATTTACACTAGACCAACAAGTAGTAAGTGTAGTCTATTAAGCAATTCGTGAACATGAGTCCCCTTCAAAGTCACTCTTAAGGGGAAAAAATGAAAAAGAAAACTCGTCCGCTGAATTCTGAAGACTACCATACCACCGTTCTGTAAATAAATGCTTTGCTAAAACAACAACTGAATCAATTCTGAAAAACTAGACCTTGAGAGTAATTTTCATATTAAAATTTCACATTAGAAAGAGAAACCCCATAGCGACAAGACTATATAGAGAGAAGATCAAAAAATGAGCAAACTTCAGAGAAGCTAAATGATTGTAAAAACTGGCCAACCATCAATTTAGCACCATCCACAACTAGATCAGTTATTTCTAACATCAGATGACCAATCTTAATATTATCAACAGAGACACCATAAGAGTTTCCTGTTCCACTGCATAGATTCTAATTTATTCTATATGCATCGCCATAACGAACTTTCTCTTCATTTTTTATGCATTCATTCCTCCAACTCATCAACAAGAACGCGAACACGATTATAAAATACAGTTCTTCAGAGTCTAACATAACAAAACACTGAACTAAAAAATAAAAATCCTACAGATAGGCATTATGAAGAGACAACTAAAATCCACAAGTCATTCAAGAATTGGAACAACCCATTAATCTTACACAATTCAAAATACTATCCCTATAAGATACGGGCAAAATTAACCGCAAAAAGAGCAATGCATGGCGTATACTACCTCAAATTCATTGGGTTTGAGGTGGGTTCCATTTCGTCAGAACTACAATTGACTATCAGAGGCTGATAAGAGCTTTGAATTCCCATAACTATTGAACTATTCTTTTGACAATTATTGGGTTTCAAGAAATAGAGAGAAGGAGAAGAGATGGCTCCGAAAGAGGTTACGAGGCGGTTTGAAAGGACCATTCGAGGGGGAAAATCGAAAGAAAAGAAAAAATGGCGAAAGAATAAGGATTGCAATTACTCAATGAACAGCACAAATTGAAATTTCGATAAAATTTTACGGGGAAATGATTTTGTCTTTCCTTTTCCCTCACAATTCTCCGGTGTATCCACTTTCCTGTAGTCTGCTTCGCAGTGATTGGATAACGTTGTATGATTTTCACGAGATTCCATAAGAAAAATATCTTAGCTTTGGTAATTGAGCGTATGGCTAATTATACATTTTTATCCATAATTTATCTACTTTCCTGTGTAAAGTTCGAATGCTGTTGAGTTGGTGAAATTACATTTTTATCCATAATTTATCTACTTTTAATTATGTATTATTCACATATAGGACCCACAACTCATAATCTAATAAAAATTTTGCTAAACATGGACCCTAGACTATTCTTTCTTCTTATAATGTTACTTTTTGTATGACAATCTTACTATTTATTTCGTCCTCCATCAATCAGTTCATTATTGAAAATGAAGTTTGACCATTTATAATGATTATAAATTTTGCCAAAAGAAAGCTAAAGTAAGAGTCCTAAGTGGCAATTAGTTGTAATGGATGAAAATGCGGGAGGTCGTGATTTAATTGAAATAAAAATAAAATTTAGTGATGAAATTGAAAATTCAATCTACATTTAGTGACCATTGCTTGTAACCATATTCAATTATCGTCTTTCTTTGATCACTTCCATGGTTCGAAAATCTTTTTAGGACTCGAAGGTAGCTCATACAGGTCATCATCATTCATTAGGCATTTGTTACTTTTTTTTATTTTATTTCCAAAGCGATTCATTCAACACAAAATGCAACTAAAGACTAAAGAAGAGGTAACGTCCAGACTAGGGATCAAGAATACTTGAACACAAATCTAGCTCTAAAGCCTATTTTTGAGCAGATTGCACTCTCCTATTCCTAGTTTTCTTGTTTGTTCGTTTTATCTTAACAAACTCATTTCAAGACTCGTGACTCGTTTAAAGCCCTAAATTAGACAATACTAACAAAGAAGGATTAGAAACAGAATTTATGAGTTTTCCCATCCAGTCTATCGAACTAAATGAGAAGTTGTTATCTTTGTCCGGACTTCAGGTTCTGTCAGTTCAGGTCAACTTGAGTATTTCTCCAAAGGAAGTGAGGACATTTTTTCATTTACTGCATGCTTCTTATGAATCAGTTACCAATGACAAGAATGAACGATAAAATAGAACCCTATTTGAAGACAATAATATAAGAGTAATAATATATTTACAGTAAGTTATTTCTGCTAATGATTTCATTTACATTTTAAACCTGTAATCAGTCAGCAAAAATTGAACTGAACAAAATATTTTACATAGCTGCTGTTTCCTAGCCTACCTTCTACTGTTCCTTTTTTCTCATTTTTTTCCCTTTTTTTCCCCTTATCTTCTTTTGGGGTGTGTGTGGTGGGGGGTTGGGGGGAAGAGGAGGCTGTGACTCTTGCCCTTCCGTTAAAAAGGACAATGAAGAACCGAAATCAACGTCACAATTTAACGAGGGATTTTTCCGAACTTAAATCCTGTTGGGCAATCCATAGTTGTGGAATGTCCTGATCCTTCCATCCCAACCACCTGTTACAATCACAAGACCCCATGTTGCAGATCGAATTCTTGAACTATGGATATAGTTCTGCTGATGAAGATGATCACCATAATTATTACAAGGCCGACAACCATGTTCAGCAGATGGCAGATCCCATGAAGGGAGTTTCTCCTCGGGCCATGTTACCGAGGCCTTGGACGAGCTGTCCATGGAAAACCAATTTCCTAGCGTAAAACGTTCTGCATCCCGAACCCTCGAGGATGCTTCTTGCCAGTCTTGTGTCTGGACTCCAGATAGAGGACAATCCAGAGCGAAACCATTTTCTTCTGTTCCAGTATCTGACCAAGGTAATGCGACTGACACACCTTCAACCAAGAAATGCTCACAGGAGCGTATGGATTTAGTTTGTTTGGATGATGGGATGAGTGAGTTATCATAGTTCCAGATGTAAATACGAGAGTCGTCACCAACTGATAGCATGTGTCTTCCACTTGAAGTAAATGAAGCAGACATCTGACTTCCCGACTTTTTTAGACCTGATATGATCAAAAATACATTTATATATAAGAAAAATATGTGGCAAAACAATTCTAAAAACTTCAGTGTTAAAAGATTGTAAATATATGAAATGAGAGTTCCAATAGATAAAAACATGTTTGTAAACACCTAGATTGCATTGTGTGAAATAGTCAATTCGTGAAATGGCAATCAAGAACAAGAACGCAAGCTCAAAGAAATAGAATAAAGAAGTAGAGATAGGATTATCACATTGCTCAGGAGCTTTAAGATATAAGCATCAAAACAAAATTTAGATGGCAAACGCTTTAAGGCCAAGTGATACAAGCAAGACAGTGGCAGAAGATAAAATATCGACTTTTTGTAAGGAATTACACAAACTAGACACTACTATTCCATGTTGAAAGTGTGTGAATGATACAACCCCTGAATAAATGCGTAATAAGCTGATATAAGATGAATTAAAGAAACTCAGTCATGATCAGACTATACGAAATTCGTGAATGAACAATGGAGCTATGAAGCTAAAACAAGTTTCAATAAGCCTCTATAAGCAATTTTCAGAAAACAAGTGAAACTTTTCCTTACCTCTGTATTTACGGACAACTTGACACCCATCAAATATGCGAATTTTGGAGTCCTTGGATGTTATCATAACTCTTTCAGGATCATTTTTCAGAAACTGCACAAAAAGTCTAGCTTCATATCAGTATAAATAAAAAGGAATAAAAATGTAAAGCTCCAGAACTTCGAGAATGAAACCTGAATGCCGGTTATTTTGTTTCCAGACTTCTTTTGACCGCATACATTTGTCTCTGCATTTAGCCCGAGTTCACCACCTGTGCAACGGAGAAACAGGGTTTAGAAGCTTCCCTGGGAAGAACATACTAACATTTCAACAAAATACCAACAAGAATACAACCATGATAGAACTATGTACCAGATGATCTGTAGAAGCGGCATATACCAGTGAGAGAACCAACTACAAAACCCTGATTCCGTGAAAGTTCAAAATATGAATACTATCAGTATACAGTTATCAAGAGCTAAAAAACAAAACAGTATGTCAACATTAACGACTGATATTAAAATCATACATTGCCATTTGGCTGGTAACAGAGTGCTGTTACTACATCTCGCACATTAGCCCAATCCACAACTCTCTTCTCGGTAACTCCCCAAATTCGAACTTTACCATCTATGGAGCCACTGATGAAGTAGTTCTCGTCCACAGGATTGAACTGAACACATGTTACTGAATCCATCCAAGAAAGTAATTCAAATTAATTTAGAGTATATAAGCATTAGAAAGACTTGGGTTTTTTTGTTTTTTTTTGGCAGAGGTGGTTGTGGAGGATACTGGCAGTTACATAAGTGAAGAATCGTTAAAGAAAATTTTGATAATTACCATAATTGCTGTGATGGAAAACTCCAAGACATTTATCAGAGCCAACTTGCCATAAACGAACTGTTGTATCCATGGAAGATGAAAGAAGATGCTGTAATTAAAAATATATTTCAGCTTCACATAAAATCAAAATGAGAAACAAGAAAATACTCGAAATAGATAAACAGCAACTACTTTGCTTACATTTGATGCGGACCACGAAAGGTCCAAAATGTCACTAGTATGACCATGAAACTTCACCAACGGCTCCTCCGCGATACAGAAGACCTTTTCAGGGATGATGACAGAAGCAGGCCACGACTTCTTACCATGAGAACTCGACTTGCCTTCAAACTCCTGTCTACTGAAATTGCATTTCGTGGTACTGCAAGATGCATCTACTGAACCAACAAGCCATATGCAAATTACACCGTCTTCACCTCCACTGGCCAAATATTTGCCATCTGGGCTGAACTTCATGGTCCAAATTAGGCCATTGTGAGCATTAATTTCTTGCCCAGCACAGACAGCAGAGCACTCCATACACCTCTTCTTATTATGTTCCATCTTCATCCAAGTCACCCTTTCGTCTTCAATGTATAAATTTGGTTCCTTAGATACATCAGTAGCTCGATTTTTCTTCTTTTTCCATAGTAGTTGATCCCACCAGCGCGTTGTTTTCTTCTTCTTATCCACATTCCAGCATTCTTCTATGCAAGGCAGCACTTGCCCATTTTCACATTGCCCGGCCCTATATGCATCAATTGTCATATCATCCAACCAATCCATGTCAGAATCCTCGACTGAACAACATGGTTCGCCATTTGATTCCCATCTATCATATACCAAATTGTCATCTATGCTAACACTAGACAACCCACAAGAACTAGAGACGGCTTCACTAGATTCGCTAATCCTTTCCAACTCCATTGTGTCCAATTCTTCATGGGCTGAAACTTCAACAAATCCCATTCTGTGTAAAAATGTTTCCCTTCTTTGCTTAACGCTCTGTGGCTCACACAACCAAACCTCGTATCCTAAACCGCAAAGTGAATCTTCTTTCACAACAACAGGCTCCTCGGACAACAAATAATCCGTGGTATCAAAGAAAATCTCTTCTCCCTCATCAACACTCAGCATGTCTTGCAATAATGTCAGCACCAGAATTCCACATTAAACAGATAATTCTCCTCTCATTTCCTGCACAGTTCCAACATGAACGCTACATTATATACTAAGCAGAATTGCCCCATTTACGGACCGAGTTTCACTCCCTAAACCATGCAAAAACAAATTAAAATAAACCCCGTTGCAATTCAACCAGAACATTAAATAAACATACGTATTCAAACCAGCATGTCCCAGTACTGTGTACCAGTAAGGCAGTAACCAACCCCACATTTATACATGTTTAACCAAGCTTAAAAAAGTCACTTATAAGCAATTAGTAAGTTTCAAAAAATTATTCTTTTTCCTAATCAAAGATGAAAATGAGTAAATGTCACTTCTTACGATGACCCCATCTTACCATCGACCTTTTTCACAAGAAAAATAGTAACTTATCCAAATATAATATAATTTACTTAAAAGTCAGCCAAGCATACTGTATCGAGATAATTTTCTATCCCCAGACAGTATGAACGCATTAATGCCAAAAACCAATGGAAGCAAAGAGACCAAAGGGTTTCAAATACAATAGTATACCTTGAATTCCTTTCAACGCAAAGAGAAAATCTCAACAGTGTCACCGACCCTCCTGTAATTATGGCTTCTGCATATAATTATACAGAAGAAAAAGACAAACCCACCCCCTTCCAAATAGTCCAATAGTCTTCCGAGTGCTCTGTATTTGACTTGGCAATGGTTTAAAGATGAAGGAAAGTTGAAATTCTCAATCTTGGGTTTAAATGAGTGTGAAAAATCATTCTTTAGAATAAAGAATCAGTAGACGATAGGTAGTTTTCTTTAATGGGCATTGAGATTTGTGAATTTGGAGGATGGGATCATGGGAGCTTTTGGAATACATGGCAGCACCAGGAATTGTGTTGCTATAGATGCCTTTATTATATATATGAGTAATATATATATATATGCTTATGTGTTGTATTTAGCTGTAATCTGCTATGCAATCTGCATGTTTGGTTGAGCCTTTAAAAAATGGTAAAAACACTTGAAAAGTAATTTCTAAGCTAGTTTTTGAATCAAAAATAATTTTTTTCTTGACTAAAAATTAATATTTTTTTTCCCATGAACTGAATTCATAACTTTTGAAGACCACTAAAGTTTAATTTGTTAAGGGGACATGTTTTTTATTTAAATTTATTTTTTAATACTTATCCTCGTGTATGACATGATTCATTATTTTGTTATCAAAAGTATGATAAATGTACAATTATCATAATTGAATGATAATGAAACCTGAATTTAAAACTCGTCTCATTTAAAAATTAAGATTGTTGTCAAAAAAAGTTTATTTATGTAAATTTTACACCTAATCAAATTATTCGAGGCTCCCACCTACTACAACAAGATAGTAAAATTAAAAGTTCTAAAACCCATAAGGCAAAGGGGTCAAACATCAAGTCGAGCCTAGACAAATCTAAACGTAATAAGACATTTTCCTATTTATAATATTATTTTAAATATTTTAGGCCAATAAATAAATAAAATAATGTGTGCCTTCAAATTTATCAGAAATTCATACATACTTTTAAGTTTAAAAAAAATTTTAATTTTCAAAATTATAAATATTATAAATACTAAATAATGAATTCTTACAATTAAATTAGATATGATATATAAACATGAAAAAATACCATCAAATGCCCAAAAATCAAAAGGCTGGCAACATTTCCAGCCCTGCCTCGTTTTGTTTTTTTTTCATTTTTTGTTTTACGTTTTCCAATTTAAGCTCGGCTCTGCCCACGAGCTTGTAACCTCACGAGCTGAGTCGAGCCCACAAGCTTCTTCTTCTTCTTCTTCTTTTTAATTTTTTTTTTTTTTACTTTTTCTTCACATCTTTTACGAGCTCACGAGCCGTTCGCGAGCTCGACTTGCTCAGCTCGTCGGGCGAACTCCCAGCTCAGCTTGGCTCGGCTTGGGCTCGTCTCGAAGCAAGTCTGAGCCGTCAATGAGTCGAGTTTTGACAAGCTATGAGGCCCTTTTGCCACCCTGCCTCCTAAAAATCCCAAATTATACGAGGACAGTGATGATTGCCCTGATCCATTGTCGTCTTTTATTTTCCCATTTACTTATTTTTATTATATTTTTTATACGAATTAAATTAATATAATATAAAATAATAATCAGGACATGTTTGAGATGGAGCATATGCAATGAATTGTGAGGAAGTGACATCTTATCATCCAGTACAGTACTATATTAATTTTAAGATGTTTTATTATAATACCGAAAATACAATAAAGAATGTATCAATTTTATTCTTTATTATAAAAAAAATAAAATTAGAAGGGATAATTTTGACAAATATATTAAATGTATTAATTTGTGAAAAAGATAAACACGAAAATAAATATAGTTGTACATTTATGATTTAACAAAAGAGAAAAGTGTAAAATGGGGATTTATGTTATATGGGGAGATTTCTGAAATTTTAAAAATTAAAAAAAGTATCTCTGAAATTGTCATAAATTTTACACGAGATTTTCGAATTTAGCCTTTAAGTATTATCAGTTCACACATAAACTGACTCGTTCACCTAAGAAAAAAATATCTAAATTTTAATTTAAGTTCAAGTCAATAATTAATTTTTATCATAAATTTTATGGAATTCATAATTTTTCAACCACACATTTAATCAATTTTTATCAAAAATTACAAAAAAATAAATAAATGAATAAAAATCTAACTTTAATTTCCACTAAATAATATTGTTCATTTTCATTACCAATTCAACCCTTTAACTTTTAATCGTTTATCATTTTCAAGCGAATATCTAAATCGATCTTCAAAAGATTCGGGTTTAAATCACTTTGTCGAGGGTGCCATTGAAGAATAATGAGCAATCACTTTCTGTCTCTATTAGGCTATTTCCTAGAGACTAGGCAAAGACTATTCAATGGATCCCATTAATCCTTTTTACAAGGTAATTTTTCCCAATTATTAAATAATTAAATATGTTCACTTTTAATTGTTTTAACTTTTTAAATTGAGGCAGTTCAATTTCAATTTCAGTTTCACCTAATTATAAATTTGTTCACAAGTCAATTCGTGAATTGGCACGTACGCACGAAGATAATTTTTTCCATTCTGATCCCGCTAATTCTCACTCGTTAATTGAGCCGATTAACGATGTCGAAAGAAATGGGAATTTCACTGTGAGTTCGACCTTTTGGCATTGAAAATGAGCTATAGATTTGCCTAAATTATAAACGGGAAGAGATTACATTACCAAAATCATTAAAGTACGTGTTCATACAACCTTTGAATTTGTTGTATTTACAAACCCTTAAATGGATAAAGATACTAAATAGTCTTCGGCTAGTCTCTGGCTATTGCCTAATAGACATGAAGAGAAAAAGGAGAAAACGAAGTAGTGAATGTACTCGAGAATAAAACAATTTATAGTTTCATCGTGCTCGATACTATGTAATAAAGATACATTAATATGTAAGATGTATGTCTTTTATTTCACTATTATAGTGTATTTACAATGTTCTTATTGAAGAAATGGAAAATGGAAAAAGTGAAGTTACCCAGCTTCCCGTTTTGATAAATTATAAACGATTTATAAATGAAATGTGCGATTAAAAAGCAGTAAATCTATTAAAATGTATTATTGAAAATGAAATTTAATTATGAATCATTTTATCCAAACGAAGGCAAATCAACAAATAGTTTGTTGCATACAATTGCTCTTGTCAACTCATAGAGAAAAATCTCATAATTAGTCCAAACTTGAACAATACCTATTCATCATCACGTTAGATGTTGAACTATAAAAAGTGGATATATTCCATCTTCATTTATTAGATTATGACCTCCTAAAACAAAGTACTAAATTCATTTGAGTTGTTCCAAAGGATCAAAACGGTCAATTATTTATGAGATTGCTTGTCGACTCTATGTAAAATATTCTATTAAATACATATTGAAAAACGAAAAGTAAAGTACTATTGAAATAATTAAATTGTCGTAGGACTAAAATTGTCCAGAAAATGATTCACACTTCATGCGATATTTAATATATTATAGATATTCGTTTGGCCAAGGGCTACCAAATACATCAGTTTACGAGAATAATCGACCAGCAATGAATATATTTTTTTGTCTAATAGATAATTCAATATATTTATACTATTAAAAAGTAGATTGAAGTTCTAATACGTTCAATCATTCTATATATAGAGTTAGTATAATTTGAATCAATATCTAAAACCAAAATCTTTAAACGGATAAAATACTTATTACCGATAATTTTGGAATAATGTTATTTATAGTCATCTTACGTGGCATCCTATATAGGCAAGTGATTCTGTTATCTCAAATAACAAACTAATGTCTCAATAAAAAAATAAAAAAAATACACACATACACACACATAGGATGATTACTGCAATCGCTGACTATGAATAGTATTACTCATAATTTTATATGCTTTAGACAATCCCTATTTCGAAAAACCCTCCAAAGAAAATGACATGAAATTGAACTTATAGATGTGACAATTTTCTTTTTCTTTTTCAAAAAAAAAAAATATTATTATTTTGTTGTTTTCAAAGAAGATAACATACCGGGGGAATATGGGACTAACATAATTAGTTTACAATTAATCAAATTTGTGATGAGTCCTAATCAGCAAAATGATGTGCGATACAACATAATGTCCCTATACAAGGAGAATTGCTGTGTCTCGTATTACATGAAGTTTAACTATCGAATATTTAGATGGCGAGTGATGAAGAAGAGACACGATGAGGGGCAAAGAATATATATATATTGTTTGCTCTTATTTAAAATTCAGATTTTTAATAAATTTTGATTAAAAAAAAAATTAGTAATTAAAAAATTGATAAAAGTTGTCGATTCCATAAAATTTGTAAAAAAAAAAGAGTTTTAGAAAATTGGGACAATTTAATCTAGTAGCTATCATCTATGTCATGTCTTACAATATTATTTCA